GCCATAATTACTGACTCTGTACCAGGCGCTTTTCTAGGCAGTGTGACTGCTGCAGTGAACAAGGCAGGCAAGGCTCCTGCCCTTCCTAATATGCGTGAAGCATGGTGGGTGGGGCCGAATAATGATTTAGACAGCAGTCCGGGAAGCATCTTAGAGGAAGAAGCATTTCAGCTAAGACCCAAGATCTCACCAAATGATGCGAGAAGATGGGTCAGGCAGTTCTATTTATAAACAAACTCACAGATGTAAGATTTGCTCTCACAATTACAGGAAATCATGCAAGCCAACTGTTTGAGACTCTCAGATGCACCATCTGGAGTCTACAGTGAAACGCACCATCACTGTATTATCGAAGTTCAGGTTCCCATCTGTCAGAGGTCCCTATCCTAGGCTTATCTGTTGGGTTCTTTGTACTGATGAAAGTGAGCTATGGAAACCCCAGAGGATGAACAAAACTATGTACAAAATGTGCAGAGTTTCATGAAAACCTACTTAACGTCTTTGAGTTGACTCACTTATGTTGAGTTGACTCTTTTGTTGAGTTCTCCTTGCTCCTTGTCGAACTGTTTGTCTCCTTTCCTGTCTGGTCCACAGATGTTCTCTATCACCTCATCGTGATGCTGGGGATTTGTGCTGTGTTATAAGGGAGAGCCAGGCAGGCAGCTGCAGTTCCTCCACCCAAGACCATCTCCTCTGTCAATGACAAACTCACATTTATTGTGCTGCCAAAAAGAACAAAGAGAAGACCGTATTGTTGGGAAGCAGAGAACAGCGCTTTGCCAAATATGTGTTCCAGTGATTTTTGTGAATTTCAGCGATTGTTTTTCTTCGGTGCCCCACTTCCTCTTGTGACTTCCTGTGGCTCTTAGATTCTGCCATCCCTCCCCTGCAGCCGGCGGAGGAGTCTCCTTTTCCCATAGTCAAGTCGAGACAGCAGCAGACTCCTTTGAAAGCTATTCTAATTTTAAAAGACTAGCACACCCAACCAAGCGCAGCTGAGCATTTTGAGGAGAATGTAGGGCATAAGCACCTTTAAAGTACTGAGGACGGAATGCACAGGAACAACCAACTTTGCCGAAGGAGCCTTTGTCTTTGAGGCTGTGCAATTCCTATCTAAGGACCAGAGCTGAGCCACCAGGCGGGGGTTCTAATCTTTCAAATGACCATGTGGGAATCAGAGTAGAAAACATTCGTTTGCTCAAACCTGAATAATATAAAGGAAAGTGATTCTTGAGAGCCCCCAGCGAGTGCTAACCCAACTGGTGTTTTATTATAAGTTTTCTTAAATATTTATAAACAGTATATAGGTATACACTCCTTATTTTTATAGCTGATATATACGTCTAAGATCGAAAGAAAATTACAAATTGAATAGGACTCAGGCTACAAAAAGAGTAAAACTCACATTAGCATTCATTGAACATGATAATGTGGCACTGCCTAAATGAAACTGCTACCTGTAACATGCTTCAGAAGGACTGCCACGACAGAGTCTCTTCAGCTTGGCAGCCCCATCCTACTCGTGATGCCCAAGGCTCTCACTATTTCTATTCGCTCTGCTGAGAAATCTTCATTTGTAGAGAATGGTCTGACCTCATTTAGCCTTTACTTCAACATTCAAGCTCATATCTTTTTCTGTCTCAGTAACCTACGACCATTCGAATGGAACCAACAAAAAATCGGAAACACAAATGCAAATAAAATGAAAACAAATGGCCAGTGAAATCACGTGGTTTCTCATGCTGAGAGCACCGCCACCCCGGTGATCCTGAATATGTTGAGAGCAATGATTTACACGGTCAAGCAAATAAAAACGGAAAGAAGCGGTCCTGGTGGAGAATTGGCGGATCCCTGAAAATGCACTGAGGACCCCAGTTTGAGGCTAGAAGCTGAGATGCGCTAGGAAAAGCCTGAGCTTTAAATTCTGTTCTTTGTCTTGTATAGACTCAACTAGCGGGCTTATCATTGGAAAACACGTCAGTTTGTATCTCTGTATTTAATGTATTTGAGAAGTTTTGAGATCTGTAGTTTGACGGTTCTTTTACAACCATGTTAATGGACTCAGAAATTAAGCTAGTTCTCAAACCTCTGGAGACACAGAGTGCATGTTTAGCAACAGGCTTGATTAAAATGACTCGTAGCTGAAACTGGTCTCAAAGCTGGTACTCCAACCAGTTTGGGATCTCTTCTTCCTATATATTCAGAATTTTTGTAGCCAGGAAGGACAGAAGACATATTTCATTGGTTCTAGTCAAAAACTCTTAAATAGCATACTCGCAGCCATAATCATAAATCCTTGGCTGTCAGAGTAAAACAAAGTTGTGTTAGTTTTGCTTTGTTTTAGCATAATGTTTAATGATCTTGTATCTCTTGGTGGTGCTATGGAATAAATAAAATGCCTTAAAATAAATAACCTATGACTATAGCTCACAGTGTAAATATATCACGTTGGTTGCCAAATCTTCAACCCTCCCACTGGTTTCTACAACTAGAGCTTCTTAAATTCACATATATTTCACAGGCTTTCAATCATTTTATCCTGCAGTTGCGTTTCAGAAATTCCAGTATTGTGTTTCTAGGCAAGGAGGCAGAGCCATTTTGCATGATTAATGTCTGGGGGAAAAGTTTTTGTGGTCATCCCTGTCTCTAAGGCCCTCACGTCTGTCACCAGCAACGGCATGGGCTTCAACTCAGAGGTAACAGCCCCATGATATTTGGTTGCATGTTTCATGTTTCACAACTTCTCTACTAAGGAATTAAGAGAAAGTCACTCTCCAAACAATCTCTCTTGCAAATTCCCATTAGTGCTAAACATAAAACAGACATTTAGAGAAGGAGGAAAGGGTACTTTCTCCCTTAGGTATCCTTGGTTGACATAGAAAAAAACCCTGAATATAGATTTTAGGAAAGTGCTCTTATCAAAATTCCTAATTATGAACCCTAAAGACATCTTCTCTCTGTCTCTCTGTCTCTCTCTCTCTCTAAACTTGAGTAATTTCAAACGAAATCTATAGAGAGACATGGATATACACACACACATATATACTGAGTATACACAGGCACATAAATCTCTACCAAATGATAGATACAGCTATAGCTTTAGCTGTAGAGAGAGATATAGAGAGATTGATGTCTGTATATACTCAGTATATGTGTATATGTGCATTATATATGTATAGGTGTGTACGTGTGTGTATATATATGTGCATGTGTGTGAATGTGTATATGTAGGCACATGTGTATATATGTTCTATGTGCATGTGTGTGACTGGATGCCAGATGTTTATGTTACAATGTTTGATGAAAAAGGCAGAAGTAACTAAGTTTTTATTATATGAACATAACTGTGTAAACATGTGGGCTAGGGCTGGAAGGGAACAAACACACACACACCATACAGATGCAAAGATGGGATAATGATAGTTGATTGTCATATCCCACCCTATCCCTACATCTGTGTGTTCTTTTCTAATTCTCTTTCAATGTAACAGTATTGGATTTCTCAGTTACTTCTGCTCTTTTGTACATGCCTCTGTTAGTCCTCAATATGTTGCATTACTACAATGTTTCCTCTCTCCAGCTAAACTGAGAACTAAAAAGTTTCACATTTTCTTGTGTCCCCCAATGTGGTAACTGGCACAGAGTAAGTACTCAATAAATGCTCTTTGTATTAATGAAATGTTCATAAAGATGGATGGATGGATGGATGGATAGATTGGTGGGAACTGGCCAGTCTCTCTAAGAGACCCCATAGCAGAAGTTGCCTTGTTCCCTTTCATAATGGAGCAAAGTGCTTAGCACCCAGAAGCCCTGATCCCAAACAAGGGAAGAAGTTATGAGGCATGAGAAGATAACTTTTGGCCCACTGTCTCCATGCTAAGGTAACTCTCCTGTCCCCTTCATATAAATGCCTCTACCTTCCCTCCTTCTGAGCATCAGTCAAACGCTTTCAATCCTTGGGACTTCCCTTGTGGTCCAGTGGTGAAGAATCCACCTGCCAATGCAGGGGACACTGGTTCGAGCGCTGGTCTGGGAAGATCCCACATGCCGCGGAGAACTAAGCCCGTGTGCCACAACTACTGAGCCCATGTGCCACAAATACCGAAGCCCGCACACCATAGAGCCCATGCTCCACAACAAGAGAAGCCACCGCAATGAGAAGCCCTCGCACCTCAATGAAGAGTAGCCCCCGCTCGCCGCAACTAGAGAAAGCCCACGTGCAGCAACGAAGACCCAACGCGGCCAAAAATAAATAAATAAATAAATAAGATGAAAATGGAATCGTGTCATAGAAAATGGAGTCTGTGAAGTTCCTAGAATTCAGCTGCCCACCTCTGGGCAGAAGAGTCCTCCCGATGGATAAGAAAGAAATTAAGCAATAAATTGAGAATGGGACATGATCTATTTGGAAGCTGCAGTGCTCACAGGAAGTGAGAGCTCAGGGCCAGGCCTTCCAGCCACTGACTGCAGGGGTTCTGCCTGCCTGGGACGGCCTGAACCTGTTGGATTTCAGTGATTCACCCCTCAGTTAGAGCTTTAGCCCCTGAAAACATTCCTGAGATGCCTTCTGCTGTGGGCCTCTACGTCCTTGCAGGCCGATTAGCTGATAAAGATAATAAACACTAAAGGTTAGGGAGGAGGCACTTTGCAGAGAAAGGCAGGTCCCTGGCCCCAGGCTTCGTTCTCCAGCTTTCCCCTTTTCCAGAATGAAATTGGACTCACTGCAAATTCGCAAGCTAATGGGCTGGAAACCTCTGGAGGGGAGGCAGTCTCGCTGGCCGTCTGGGAGCAGGAAATGAGTTCACTGTATCCAGTTCATCTGACTCCACCTTTGCTCTAGGCCACAGGACTCCAGTGTGAACAGAGGAGGCCAGCTAGATGGCTCCCCCTACTGGGAGACTGACTCAATACCCCGGAACTACAACCCCTGAATGGGATATTTAAGACACCCCATGGACTTTCCTGGGACCACACAAACACCTTTGAAGAAAATACTCACCTCAGAAGATCTCTGGGACTTTACCTTCATCCTCAGTAAATTCGGGGAGTGGGATCGTGAAGCCTTTTGCCCTTCAACCAGAAGGTTGTTTGCTCTGCTTTGCCCTGTGGGAAGCAAAGGAGAGCTGGTGAATCACAGAGCAGGAGAGGTTGCCTGTCAAGTGTGGTCTCTCAGCAGACAACTCAGGTCGCCCTTACTCGCTTCCTGAGAACGTTGTTTGTAACCAGAACTGCAATCAGGCAGGAGCTGCCTTGGTGAGGGAAAAGCTTCATCATAGATGAAATCGCGATCGTATCCTTGGACTTTGCCGATAAGCCTAGATGGACAGTCAGCAAGGGTCTATGGGGTGAGGGCCAGTGGAGGCTAAAGTCTGTTGCAAAGAAAATCTTTTTAAAATAATAATAAAATCTATTGAGCTCTTACTATGAGTAGGGCACCAAGTGAAACACCTCACATACAGGTTCACAACTAATCCTCGCAGCCACCTTTTGAGGGCAGTATTATCACCATTCCCATTTTACAGACGATAAAACTAAGCCCCCAAATGAGACAGCTAGGAACAAGTGGGACAGGATTCAAAGCTAGGTCTACACTGCTGACATCTAGAAAAATCTTCCTCTTACCTGAAGTCCGTTGATGAAATACATCATGCCAGAGCCAGACTTAGCAAACTGTGGAATTGAAGGTACCTCCTCCCTTTCACTTCTTTCCCTGGACCCTGACACCCACTCAAACTCCCAATGTCATAGTAACCACTCACCACTCCCACTGTGAACATCTCCAAGATGCTCTTGGGAACATCTCAAGAGGAGTACCACCACCCCCAGAAAGGGCAATGCTTATCAGAAAGATGAGAAGGTATCATGGTACGTTTCAGTGATGGACAGGAAGGCAGAGAGAAAGGGAAGAGATATTTAAATGTGTAGAGATGAGGTCCAAGTGCCCCCAAACCAATGGGCTTTCATCCCCTCCACCTGGGCACTTTAGACTCGGGAGAAGGGAAATAGAAGAATGTGGACATTATAATTCCTGGGCTTATATTTGCTGTTGCTTTTGTGGGAGACTAGACTGGGGTGTTCAAGCAGAAACCAGGAGACCAGCGTAGCAAAGAGAAAGGAGGCATCACACAAGAGGTTGGTCTAGGTTGGAGCCAAAGTCACAGATTCCATGTTTGACCATTTAAGGGAATTATACAGTCCTTTTTGGAGGAAGATAACCTCACAGTCATGAGAGCCTCCACATGGACCTTAGCGGTCTCCACGAACCACAGCATGGAGATTCACTCATCCCATCAAGTTCCTCAGTATCTCCTTCAGGGACCGAAATGGGGTGGGGTGGTGGGCTGGGCACACATTTGGTCCAGTCTTACCTTGACTGGAATGGTGCCTCTCTTTTGCAAATCACACCCTCCCAACGCCAGCAGGGCACCTGCAGTGGTCTGAGTGACCTGAATCCGGAGAGCTGCCAGAAACCAGTTTTAGCCTAGTCAACACCTTGGTTGTGAATTTCATATGGATGTCAGTGGGGCAAGGGCTGCTGTGGGGAGGGAACACTACACACATGGCTCAAGTTCTTGGACTGCCAGCACCTCTCACTAAACAAATCACAGACAACCTCTCTCACGTCTAGGACACATGGACTGGTATCACCAACCATCCAGGCATTGCTCAGATGCTGCTGGGTGTTGCTCAAGCTTTAACACATTCGGTTTAGAAACAGAAGATGGAACGGAGTCCATATGCAAGTTGGTGTTCCTGATGGATGAGGGCAGCTGGGGTCCTCAGGCTCCCTGGGATAGTGCCAGAGCTGGGATGTACCACTGAAAATGTCCTTTGTAACCAGAACTTCAACTAAAGTCAGGTGTGGAGCCTACATCAGCATTTCCAATTTCATATTCTGTCCTTGAACTCTTTAATTACAAGCTAAGAGAGACGTTTAAATCTGGATTTGAGACTCAGTTGATTAACTTAGACAACAAAGTAATCAGAGGGGAAGATTTTTTTGTGTGTTTTTATATACTGTGGAAGATTTACAAATTCAAAAGAATGTTAACCTAAACTTTTCAAAACTTAAATCACTGAGTAATTATTTTTTCCAGCTGATAAATGTCTCAGCTGATAAATGGCATAGATGTGTCTAGTAATAATCAATACAATAAAATTATTGTAATGCAAAAGAATTTGATGTCCTCGGGAGTTCCTGGCCATAGATTTCTTTGGCATCGCCAAAACTATACAGCAGGATTGGCACATTACTACCTACAAGCCAAATCCTGCCCACCACCTGTGTTTGCAAAATAAAGTTTTATTGGAACATAAACACACCCAATATTTTTACATGTTGCAAATTGCTGCTTTCACACAACAACAGCAGTTACATAGTTGCAGCAGAGACTATAGCCCCCAAAGCCTAAAATATTTACTGTCTGGCCCTGTTTAGAAAAAGTTTGCCAACTGCTGCTCTTATTTAAATGATCTTACTATATGTGTACCTGACTGTTTAGGATGGAAAGTCTTGGAAGGAGATGTCATGTGTGTTTACATGGCTCCATCGAGAACACAGTGCAAAAACCCATCTAAAAAGCTTGTGACCAGTGTTGTCTGAATTGGATAATGATCTTATCCTCCAGATGGAAAAGAGTAGACAAAATGCAAATGGGTCTTCTAAAAATACTCTCTGGTTAAAGATAGGGGACGGGAGGGACAGCGATCTGTGTTTGCAAAGTGCTGTAAACGATACCCACGCAAACTGCTACTTTCCATTCTGGATGCCATGTTCACAGAGTCTCCAAACAGACAGTATCTGGGCATGGTGACTCCTACCACGCCAGCCACCATGGGACCTGCAAAGGGAAGGACGACAGAGGCGCATGACCAGTCTGCATTTCCCAAGTGTGGGACTCCACAGTGCAAATCAGGTCAACAAAAGCAAGTCGATAAATATTCGTGAATACCCTCTGGGGGCAAAGCCTGGAAATAGACCTCGGGGTTTACAGTGAGGCCAACTACAGAACCCACAGACTTTTGGTGGAAAGCAACATAATCAACCGTTATGGATTGAATGTTTGTGTGTCCCACCCCAATTCACACGTTGAAGCTCTAACCTCAATATGATGGTATTAGGAGGTGGGGCCTTTCGGTGGTAGTTAGGTTTAGAGGAGGTTGTGAGAGGGAGTTGCCCTTATGATGGGGTCAGCGCCCTTATAAGAAGAGAAAGAGACACTGAGAGCTCTCCTGCCCCACCGTGAGGACGTAGCCAGAGGGCAGCCCTCTGCAAGCTGGGAAGAGCGCTTCCCCAGAATCCCCCATGGTAGAATCCTGACCTTAGGCTTTCCAGCCCCCAGAACTGTCATAAATGTGGGCTGTTTAAGCCACCCAGTCTATGGTAGTTTGTTATGACAACCAAACTGACTAAGACAGAAATCAATGACAGTGTTATTCATGCACTGGAGATGTAAACAAAGCATCAGTGGCACAAACATGGGAGTAATTCATCCTGGTTAGGAGTCAGGTTTTATTTTAGTTAAGCTGTGGAGGGTAACTAAGAGCAGGTCTGGCTACATCGTTTGCAGGGCCCGGTCTCAAATGACAATAAGGGATCTTCCACTCAAAAATTATCAAGAATTTCAAGACAGTAACGGAATGGCATTAAACCAAGTACAGGTCACTTCTGCACACGTCACAAGCCCGTGAGTTTGAAAAAAACAGAACAGATCAGAGGGCATTTGATGCAGAGGCATGGAGGGAAAGCAGCCCCAAATAAATGTCCTGGTTGGGGGCTCCTCCTAATTTGGGTTCATCGCCTTGGAGTCTTTGTTTGTCCTTGTTGTTACTAAGCAATCTGACTAACTAGAAATACACATGCAAAGAGAATTCAATCTTTTCTTTCCCCTGAAGATGCTACCATTTGCTCTCAGGGTTCCTAAATTAAGCCTCAGACCTAGGATGTGAATTTAGAACTACCTGCTGCTGTATCTGGACCACAAGGCCACCTGCCCTTAGTGCTGTCTACTGGTGTGGAGGCCAATCCAGAGCTTAAGCTTTTCCTCAGGCATGTGCCCAATCGGGAAGTGGACGGTGGCACTGAGGAAGTGCAAGGATGCAATCTCGTCCGCGTGTTGGGTACCATTCCGGATGGGAAGTCCGCTAGCCACCATGTATGCATCTCCAATGGTTTCAACCTGAAAATAAAGCAAGAAAGTGGCCTTGTGTTCATCATGAGGGAGGCTGGGGGTGATGGTGGGGTCAGAGACAAGGCCCCTCATTACTGATCCTGTTTGAGGTCACATCCTTTGAAGGGTCATACTCCCTGACCTTCATTCCATCCAAGTCCCAGCATTTCCTCAAGCTCCTACTCTTGTCCTGGCTCCTACAAAGCCTTCCTTCCCTCACCCTCTTCCCCACAGTCTCTGCTTTCTTCTCTGAAATCTGAGAGTGCTGGTGATTATATTTCCCCAACCCTAGTTCAAAACCAGTTAGACAGGCAGCAATATACTGATGGAGTAGACCTTGAAGGATCACATGGATCCATCGAGTGCAATCCATCTTATCCAAGCTGAACTGTCTTCACCCCACACAAGGGCTCTTAGATACAATTATACATATGCTCATATTATACAAAATGTGTGTAAATGTATGTACCTGCCTGATCTGTCCTCTTTTTCCCCAATCCTCCTAATAAAATCATCTTTCAGATCCTTCATTCACCACAGACAATAAATGACAAGTGTAAGCATAAAGTTACAGCCCGTTCCAGATACATTTGCTTTTCAGAAGAATCTAAAGATGATGTGGAAAATGTGGAATTTCAGGCCTTAGCCAGGCAATAAGACCACGTCTGCTTCCTGGTGACCCTAAAATTACCCAAAGCCAACAAGTACACAAGTCTAACTGCTTCTAGGCTACCTCTCCCCACCATGGGCACGTCCTTTAGCAATATAAACTGATTTTAGCATTAGTTCATGCAAAACGTAGCTAAGAAGAAAACACTAAGAGGAAATCCCAGAGGAGGCTCATCTAAGCAGAGCAGCTTCCATTTTTGTTGGGTGAATGTGATCTGCTCTTTGTGATTACCGACCACCTTTCCTTCTGCTGTTGACCAGAGGCAACATCTTTGGGGAATTTTGGGGGATAACCATTGAGGATGTGTTGCCAGGGGACATGATTGCACTGTCCCAAGTCTTCCTGATTCCAGGACCACAGGCAGAGCCCTGCAATCATGGTCACAGCTGGTAAACTAGTGGCTGCCCACCAGGTGTGTGTGAACATGGGCACCTTGGAGTCATGATCTGCCCCATCTGAACAGTCAGAAAGCACATAAAGTGGCCTCATCGTCACCACCAGTGAATGAAGCCAAATTATTATTTTTCTCTCCTCCCCTGCAAAATTCATTTTTTACTCTAGGTGACCCTGTTCATACATCCCCAGTGTAGCACTAGGCGGGTGGTTGCTGTCTGACCTTTAGCCGTGAGTCTGATAGTCTAAGCTTGGGGGTCTATCTTCACCTGAATGGCTAAGGGCACAGTAACAGAAGTGAGACTCACGACAGATCCAAAGACAATCTTTAAAGGAGAGTAAATGTGAGCCTCTCTGAATGTGGAAAAAATATATTCAGGAGGGAACTGGAGGAATTAGCCAGAGGAAGGTCAATGCCTTTTTTAGAAATGTGTTTACTGTGAGATAAAATAATGGAAGGAAACAGAGGGAACAACTGATGATTCTTGACAAGCACCTACATCTGTGATGAATCAAGCCCTTTTCCAAGAAAACAAACAGGAATCAAATATTGAGTTTCTGCCATGAATTGAGATAGGCTGCCAGCCTGAAATAGAACCTTCCTCCTGGCTGAGGTCTAGGGCCGGATTAATCCTCACTCATGCCCGGAGACAGCCTACAAGGGTCATGTGTGTCTCCACAACCCAGGAACCAGGTGTCTCACCTTATACACATCATAAGTTTTAATGATGTGATCAAATAAACTGTACAGGTCCTTAAGGAGCTGCACAAGTTGCAGCGGGGAGCTGAGAGAACAGAGTTTTGTGAATCCAACAATGTCAGAGAAAAAGATTGTCATGGACTGAAAATGCTCTGGTTCCACAGCTCTTCCAGCTATGAGCTGTTCTCCAATGAAGCTGAAACCAGAGAATAGGATTGTTTTTGAACAGTATCATTCATCTTGTCTCCTATAGACCCCTACAAAGTCTCCCTGGTAGATCTTTTTCTTCGGTGGGTTAGATTTTGCGGTAACAAAAATCCATCATCTAGAGGGATTCTTTTGACACCCATTTCTCTGCCTGCATTTTCTCTAAAGAGATATTTAAATTGGTGGGTATAAATTCAGGGAGGGGTGGGAAGCAGTCCACATAAATGCCTTTTCAAAAAGATTTTCTCCCTGAGGGAATTTCATTTGCCCCAATTGGTCATAGAATTTGATTTTAACGACTCAGTCTGCAGATGTGGAAGCAAATGTAAACATTCATCGATCCACAAATTAACATTTCTGCTTCTATCAATCTCACATTGACACATTCAATGCACAACCCCATTTCTTTGTCAAGACACATAAGAAGGGTGCTGGAATTTTAACAGCAGATGCTCTGCTAAGTGTTTAGAGAGTGCACAGGTGATAACAGAGCCAAAAATAAGCAAGTTTTGAATCTGAAGTTATTGGTGCCTATTGTACTGTGCAAAGCATTTAGGCAGACGTAAAATCTGAATACGCTGAGCGTAGTAATTAATTGGACTCCTGAGACTAGAGCGCCATCTAGTGGTCCCTTCCTCTTGTTGCATCCCCTATATTCCATCTTTTACAGACCTGCATTCTCTAATTCCTGTGGATTCCAGGGCCTTGCCTCTATCTCCCTTTACAAGGTGTACCAGATTACACACAAAATGCTTGATGCATTTTAAAAGAGACTAACATTCTCTTAGAAAAAGAACACAGGAAATAGTCTCTCCATGTGAGGTCTCCTTAAATAGCGATGGTGTTGCTTCCTGGTCCTTTGGTCAAGGCCCCTGCTACTTTGGAATACCTGGGCAGCACTGTAGACAGAAGCTGATCCACTTTCCTCTTCTCGGCCATCAGCTAGTTGGTCCTCTCTTCCACCACCTCCTCCAGATGACTGGTGTACACTTTCAGCTTGCTCACCATACTGTTTAGTACATTCACGTGGCTTTAAAAGAACCCAGAGATTTAAGTCTTTTTCCAAGAACTTTAGGGCCACAGTGGAGAACCACATCCAAGTATACATTCCAAGACAACATGTCTCGCCCGTAAGGTTTCCTACTTAAGGGTTGCCAGTGGACAGCAGTGAAATGACAATGGCCAAAAGGCCGCCTGGCAGGACAGATCCTGTCCTTTACCAGCCCTGTGAGCTTGAGGGGAACCCTCTGAGCCTCAGTTTCTTCATCTGGGAAATGAGGATAATAATACATACCTCACAGGGTCATTCTGTAGATTCAGGGAGATAATGAGTACTAAGGCTGTGTCTGGTACCCAGTGGGCACTCAACAAACAGTAGCCTTCACTGCCCTCCACTTCCCAACATGCTCCATGCCAATCGTCATGATCATGCAGAAATGTAGATTTCAGGATGGGTCATTCTTTTCTTTTCAGAGGGCAACACCAGATGTTTTCTTTTCAGATGACAGATGCTGGTATTTAAAACCCAAAACCCAAATACGCATTTTTCAAGTCTTTTTTTTTTTTTTTGCGGTACGTGGGCCTTTCACTGCTGTGGCCTCTCCCGCCCCAGAGCACAGGCTCCGGACGCGCAGGCCCAGCGGCCATGGCTCACGGGCCCAGCCCCTCCGTGGCATATGGGATCTTCCCGGACCGGGGCACGAACGCGTGTCCCCTTCATCGGCAGGCGGACTCTCAACCACTGCGCCACCAGGGAAGCCCCCATAACATTTTCTTGATGGAAGGGAAAGTGGACCTTTTCTCTGGAGATTCATCCCAACATGCCTTCACCATGACCACCATCTTTTCATTTCCCTTCTCTTCTGACAGGGAAGGTCTAAGTGGCACTGATGCACTGGGGTCCTTGAGTTGGCTGATGATTTCTGAAATCCATTTGGGGTTTAGGTAGCTAAATGTCTGAGTTTTGTGCCATTTAGTACACTTCACTTTAAACAGACATGTTTTTAAATTTGTAAATTGAGTTTTTAAGTAAACTGAACAGATTAGAATTTCAGAGAAATCTGAATATTTTACAAGAAATATTAGGAATCCTCCTGGAAAATGAGGACTCTAATGTAACACATATAAGCACACCCTAATTAATCTTTTTTTTTATTAAGTTTTTTTCTAATAGAACTTTTCTTGAAATGAAGCATATCTCCACGTGATTTCAGGAGCGTATAAGCATTTGCTATTAGAAATCCGCAAAGTGTGCTTTACGCAATTTGCATTCCATATAAAATGTTACATAAAAGTTATTTTAACAAACAATGAATGTTAACTACTATGTCCCACCTCTATGTCCCACTTTGTAAACCTACTTTCTTTCACTTCCTCATTGGCTTCTACCGACATTTATTAAACATTCTGCTTAACCAGGTTTTGTAGAGGAAATAATATTTTGAGAACAATGTATTTGTGTTTTGGTAAAAAAAAAAACACTGTGGTGTGACAAAATGAATGAATCTTAAATGTATTACTAAGTATAAGAAGCCAGTCTGAAAAGGCTACATACTGTATGATTCTGTTTATATGACATTCTAGAAAAGGCAAAATTATGGACACAGAAAATAGCCCAGAGGCTGCCAGGAGTTTGGGGAGAAGTTGATTAGGAGAAGCACAGGGGATTTTTTTAGGGTCATAAAATTATTCTGCACGATATTGCATTGGTGGATCATGACACTACATATTTGCCAAAAGCCTTAGGACTTTACAGCACAAAGAGTGAACCTTAAAGAATGCAAATTTAAAAAAATATCAGTTGGGAGATTGGACAACTGCAAGACAGAATGCAGACTGTGACAAAAGAATCTGTTTTACAAATGTGTGACCTAATCTCACTGAAGGGGATGGGGGTAAAATGCCTACATAAGTAACTTCTGAAACAACTAGAGACGGTGAGACTAAAGTCAAAAGGAACTACTCAAAACCACTATACTCCAGTTGGTAGAATCTCCTCTCAGGTAGGTACAGATGAAGAACTCTGAAACTACTGTACGCAAATAATGGGATTGAACAAATAAGTAAATGGATGGCAGATGGTGGGAGCCAGGATTCTCGCTGTTGGAAAGGGAGGTTATGGATCAGTGATGGGCAGAGACTAAAGTAAATGAAACATGTGATAACGACATTGGAGATGTCACTATGAACCCATGTTTAGCTTAATACAGATACAGATGGGTAGACAGAGATATGAATGTGTGTATACATATGGGTTAGTATATACCCGCATATTATCTTGCTCTGTCCATGAGAGGGGCTAGAAGAAACAGCATCCCAGTAGCAACATGCACATCTAGTGTCCAGGTGTTCATTCTCCAATACAGGAGCCAGGGCTTCTTAAGAGAAGCAGCTGAGGGGCTTCCCTGGTGGCGCAGTGGTTGAGAGTCCGCCTGCCGATGCAGGGGACACGGGTTCGTGCCCCGGTCTGGGAGGATCCCACATGCCGCGGAGCGGCTGCGCCCGTGAGCCATGGCCTCTGAGCCTGCGCGTCCAGAGCCTGTGCTCCGCAACGGGAGAGGCCACAACAGTGAGAGGCCCGCGTACCGGGAAAAAAAAAAAAAAAAAAAAAAGAGAAGCAGCTGATTCTAGTATTGGAGCAGGGAAAATACAAGATGAGGCTAAAGCATCTTATACCACCAGAAACTAAGGAAGCACAAAACAAAACACTGCAATGGGTGTATGTCAAAGTACACAGAAGCCAACTGAAATTAAATGGTCAAAGATAAAACAATTTGAGCCACAAAATAAATAAAGAAGTATTAGATTATAACTCAAAATATAAAATTACTATATAATATAATAAATTTATATAAATATCATAAATGAAATATAACAGGTAATTGAATGGATAAATAAATGGGAGAGAATAGACAAACCTGTAGAAATAAATTCCAAATAATTTATGTAGATATTTCTCCATTCAAGGTGGTGGAGCAAACACCCCCGTCCTTAGGTGAAGATTTCACATCGTGACCTCTTTCTTACGGGGACAGTATAGGAAGAGGGGAAATCAAGTCTCAAACGTTAGTGGGCATCAGAATCACCTGGGGAGCTAATTATACACAGACCCTGGGCCCACGCCTCACCCCACCCCCACCCCCAGTTTCCAGTTCAGAAGGTCTGCAGTAAGGCCTGAAACGTGATTTTCTAACAGGTTCCCAGATGATCTGCTCCTACTGGTCGAGGCACCACACTAGGCCAGTGCTCCGCAGACTGTGGATCTTCAACATCACCTGGGATCTTGATAGAAAAGCAAATTCTCAGGCCTGACCCCAGACCTACTGAGTCAGGAACCCTGAGGATGGGACCCAGCAATTCTGTTTGAACAAGCCCTCCAGGTGATTCTGATGCCCATTAAAACGTTTGAGAATCATTGGTCTAGTGTGCGCAGAGAATCCGTACTGTTTCCAGCACCAGGATTGTTGGCAGGAGTGTATGAGAAGTTAATGGAAGGGTGTGTTTCTCCATAAATTAGGTGCAGGTTGTACTTTTCCTGGTTGTGGTCCTGTGTATCTATCGTCCCCTGTGACCAGCTCGCATTTACCCTGGTGAGCAGAGGACTACAATGAGGGGGAAATATACAGATTGTCCACAGTGTTCTCACACCTTACCCACCACCACCCCCACCCCCGCTGGCACAGTCACATGGCAGCTGAGCTTAGCAAGTGTAGTTGGGCTCCTGCCTGGGTTCAGTGGAGGGAAGATGTGTCTAGCTGCTGGTTTCCAAATTCAGATGCCCCTGGATCTGAGATTAACCTTTTAGGATGAGTCTCATGTCTGCTTCATTTAGCCACAGATTAGAATCAGAATCTGCTTTCAAAGCAACTAGCACACTCAGAAAGCCTCCTGACTTGAAAAAGTCTCCAGGGAATGCATAATGATCTAAAGATGAGACTTGGGATAGGCCACTGGGGATGGGCTAGAAATGGTAGGCAAGGCAATAAAAAAGAAATGATGGGAAAAAAATCAAGAGAGAAGAGTGGGCTGGGTTTACATAGAAACACACACACACACACACACACACACACACACACACACACACACACACACACACACTTCCCTATACTCTCTCCAAGATAGTGGTTCCCCACCTGAACTGCATGTTAGAATCACCTGGGGAACTTTAAAAACCCGGATGCCCAGGCCATACCCCAAACGAGTGACATCAGATTCTCTGAGTCTAAGATGCAGGCCTCAGCAGTTTTTAAAGTTTCCCAGGAAATTCCAATGTGCAGCCAAAGTGGAAAATAAAAGTGCCAGGGGGTTCCACCTGCTATACATTTTCTTATCAATTTTGATCAAATTTTGCTTCACCTCCCATTGCTTTTGCCCTTAATTCCCTCATGGAATGTGTTAAGAGACAACCTGGCCAAAAAAACAAAAAAACCAAACGTGAATATATCCTTTGTAAGTAGAAAATTGGACACCATTTATCAAAACTTTTAAATATGTTTAAAATACATTTACCTTGGGCTTCCCTGGTGGCGCAGTGGTTGAGAGTCCGCCTGCCGATGCAGGGGATG